CCCCCCCCTTTGCACAACTCCCCACAAGCCCCTCCATCTTCAACCAAAGAGCCCACACATTCTTAAGCTCAGGAAAACCCAAGGGTCCTGTTCAATTAATCGAGTCACACCCCCCCAAACCCTAGAAATCCAGGACCTCTCACTTACCCAATGAAACCTCTCCACAATCTCCCATACTCCTCCTCCTTAAGCACCCCTTAAGAAACTTGGGGAACTCTAGATGAGTGAGGGTCCCCCTTACTTATCACCCTAAGAGAACGCAAAGTCCCATCCTTATATAAATTGGTGACCCTTCTCCGAATAAACCCCAGACTCGCCTGGAGCCCTCTCTACCACATCCAGGGGGGTCCTTCCCCTCAAAATCTTCCAGATTCTAACCCATACAAAATGAGGGCCTTAATAATTCAAGGGCTCTGGCCCTTTCACTCCCCACCCGAGACAGGGAGCACTTAGTCCCCTAAATCCGAAAGTCCAGGTATTCTCGGACCACCAGGTATATTGGGTAGACCAGGCACAAGGAAGAGGGTTCGTTTGGGGCTTACCCAGCCGGGCTGCCCGGGATCACCGCAGCTTCGACGGCCTGGCTAGGGTTGGGACTGGCGGTGGAAGCAGCAGCGGCTGCGAGCATCGGTAGCAGCAGCACCAGCAGGAGAGGGGAGCCGCCGCTGGGGCCAGGCTGCCGCATCGTGTCAGGCGTGGAGTCCTGCTCCAGGCGGACAGTCTGTCCAGCAGGTCCAGCTCCGAGCGGCCCCGCCCCCGCCCCCGCCCCCGCCCCCGCCCGAGACCGACTCAATTTCTCCACCATCCAAACCGCGGGCTGTGAACTTCCCGCCAATCAGAGCGCGGTGCCGGCAGGGGGCCCTGATGCGCGGCCAATCAGGAGGCGGTAGGGGAGGGGCTCGAGGCACAGGTGCCGGAGGGGGGCGCTGGGGCCTGGAGTCCTCTAGTTTTGGTGGGGAACTGCAGGGAACGCTTTGGGGAGAGCCTCCAAGTATGGAGGTGCTGGCACCCCTCCCATGACTGTGGAGGGATGTGGAGGTGGTGAGCAGGGACCCCTAACTGGATTCCGACTCGCAGGCATCACATCTCTTCTCACGATTGTGGGGCAACGCTATTAAAATTTGCTCCCTGGCGGGTGTAGTTGCCAAAACGCTCACAGATGCCCGTTTCTCGCAGGAGAGACTCAGGATTCTGGGGGCAGAGCGGGAATTTTACATTAGGTCTCCAGTTCCCGCCTCTTTGAGAGTCCCAGGCGCACCCTACACCTTCCCATAGAAATCACCCTTTCTCGAGAACCTTTATTTCGGGGGTTCCAGGTTCAACAAGCAGATGTTGTTCCTCAAAAGCCAGCTGCCTTTGCCCCTTAAGGGTGTACACTTTGCCTTCGACCCACTAACTGCGCTTCCACTTAGCTCTCTCTCCACGAGCTGCCTCTAGAGGACCAGAATGCTTTCCCTGCCTGAATCACGAAAGAATGGCAAGAGCACCCCCGCGCCCCCGCCACCACCACCACCACACACTCCTAGAACTGCAGGCTCTGCCCTTCGAAAATTCCAGTCTTCGCCCTTGCTAGGGAACTTTACCATTAACAGCCCCAAGCCACAGGGGGCCTTAGGACCCACCTGCACCCCTTTTACTGAGTTCCAGGCCCCAAGCCCTGCCCACAGTCTCTTGACTCAAAGGGCTTCAAGTTCCTCCATTCTAAAGCCAAGGCCCCACTTTCTTCCTTTGGAATTACAAGCCCCGCCTCTCTTCTCCCAAAGGCCCCGCCCACAGAGCTCCAGACCCCGCCCCCTGGTTGCCCCCGAGTCTGAATTTTAGGCCACACCTTTTCCCACGCAGAATTTGGGCGCAGTACCACCCTTAGGGTCCCAAGTCCCACTTCACGGCAGTTCGATTGTGAAGGTTCCCAGTTCTGTAGCGTTAGACCTGCCCTAAGCTCCACCCACACAAGGTGCCAGCTCACCCCCTGGCAGTTGGGTCCACCCCAGACTAAAAACAGCAACCGAGTCAGCTTTGACTTCATCTCCCATTCTCGCTCCCTCTTCCATCGAAAGGTATGCATGGCGGAGGCAGAGGGGACCCCTTCACCCTCCCCCATTACAGCGAGGCACACAGGCTGACTCACCCAGTCACACTCACGGAGTTACTGCCACCTACAGCAATCCACACCTCCATCCCACACCCAGAAATCTGGGCCCACCATTGCCCAGGGACACCGCCCTCTGGAACTGTAACGACGGCGCCAAGGCCCCACTCACAGGCATTCGAGGGCTGTCCCAGCGCGACCGACGACCGAAGGACGATGGAGTGCCAGGCTCTGCCCCCTGAATGTATCCAGCGTCCTTTGTGTGGCCCCGAGAGTCCTGCTAACATGGCCTCACAACCCGGTGCCCCCTACCCACCTCCTACCCTGTGCCTGGAGCATTTGCTGGGGGAGCTGCTGAAATTTCTCCCTTCTGCCTGGGATCCAGGGCATCTTCAGCGCTCGTTGCTAGGCAACAGCCTTTGGCTCACCACAGCAACTTCCGGGGATGGCGTTGGCTTCCCCTCCCCCACAGCTCCCACTCTCTCCCCTTCAGTGTTACGATCTCCCAGGGTGGTTTCCATGTCACCCCTTGGACCCTGATGGGATCTCAACCCTTCAGAAACCCTCATGTCTAGAACGGCATTCCAGAAGCTTCCTCCCACTGTGGGTTCACACTTGGTTTCAACCCTGGTCTTAACAAATTTCTCCTAGATTCTTCTAGATTTTTTTCTGACATTCACTCATTCTCAATCCAAAACTCACCAGTTTTCCAGAAACGCAAGTGTTCTGGATTTTCTGGCATGGGAAAATGAATCACAATGTTGTAGATCTCAAGCATTACAAAATATCCCCATGTTCTAGGTTCCATGACATCCCAAATCTACCTAAGCTCTAGACTTCCTAACATATAAATTCCCACACACCCTCCCAAAACTTGTAGAATTTGAGAAGTCCAAACATTCCAGAACACCCAGGTTTTAGAATTACTCATCTGGTAGGTATATTTATATTCTAGATTCTCTGACAACGCTGAATTCCTGCCATTATGGATCTCTTAGAATGCAAATAAATCCCCTAGGAATCTAGAACTGACCCTCCAGAACATGCTCTAGATAGCCTAGTGATCCAGTTCCTTGCTATGCCCTCTAATCCTCAGAACTCCAAATGAGAAAATATTCCTATTGGTGGACATTCTAGAACACTCCCATGTCCCAAAACCAGTGACTTTTCAAGCCTTTTTGTGAGAAACTTGTCTGGAATCTCTGATATGCTCGACAGAATACAAGTTGTTCACCCAGTCGCATTCTAGAATGTCTGTATTCCAAACTCCCCACCATCAAACCCCTCTGTCACTGAGAAACTTGGAGATTCTAGAAATAGACTGTTCTAAAATCCCTTACCCCTAGCCTGGTCTACTTTGTCTCTTCTTCACTGGGTCAACGAAAAGAGGCAGAATATTTTCCCGAGGCGTTTCCCTTATTTGTTTTTTAATAGAACAAAACATGTCTGGGTGTCTCACATACCTTCTCCGGTGTGGGAAGGAAAGGGGGGAAAAGTCTGAGAGCCAGGGCAAGGTGGGCAAGGTGTTTGTGGAGGTAAGTTTTGGGGTAGACATCAGGACCTACATGACACCTGCTTCTGCCATCCTGTCGTGTATTCGTGCCTATTGATGAAGATTCATAGACATTCTAGAACACTCCCATGTTCCAAAACCAGTGACTTTTCAAGCCTACCGGTGGTAGCTACTCCGACTCCGAGACACTTCTTCAAGTCTGTCCACATGGGGCTGCACTCACCTCCTGACTTGGGGCACATGGCCCAGAGAGGAACAATTGAGCCCTCCAGCACACCGGCCACAGCGATTAGGTCAGGGATAACCAGACTTAATTCAAGCGAAAGAGAATCATTGACTTTTTGCTGCTACTAGAGAGGGGGAAAATGCTAAGAAGCCACCTGGAGTCATCTTGGCACAGAGAAGGGAAAATGTGAGACTAATGCAGCCCAGAGAAAATTAAGCCAAAGGATGGAAAGACATCTGGATGAGGGCTAGGAGGCCTGGATCTAGCCTATCCTGAAGCCATACACTGTACTTTGTTTAAGCCAGGTGTTCTTGAATCGACAGTCAAGAAGCCCCCTGGGCCCCACATCTCTGCCACCCTCTCCTTGGGTGTCTCTGAACCCTCTAAGAATGTAAGCAAGCTGCTGGCAGTAACAATTTTATTAGGGGAGGGTGACGCTGGCTCCAGATGAGGGGACCAGCGGGGCCCTCGTAACAATGGCACTCCGAGGTGGCCCTGGTCCTGACTCCAGGGCTCGCACGGGCAGAGGTCTCTCTCAGAAGAGACCTGGCCTCGTCTCCAAAGGCAGCTGTGTTCAGAAGGAAGTTTCATTGAGCTTCATCTTAGGGGGCACTAGAGGAGTCCCAAACCCTGCGGAGGGTCGGGGGGCTGGTGTTGGTGGCCTTCGGGGCTCCGGGCCACTCCGTACTAGCTCCTGGCAGCGTTCCACGAAGCTGCCTCCCCCGCGGCGCCGGGCTTCAGCCTGGGGCGGGCTGGGGCTCCCACGGCGGCTGCACAGGCCAGTGTTGCCAGACAGACTGCAGGGACGGGCTGGTCAGTGCAGGCCACGGAGAAGCAGGCCACACCCGCCCCCAGGCTGCCATGCCTGTCCCTGCCGCCCCACTGCACAGAAGGGTGAGTTGCGCCTACCTGGTGAAGGAAGTTCGGGGGGACGGGCTTGGGGGGGCACCCCGAAAGGAGGCCAGTGGGGCAAGCTCACATTGTTCCAGTTGCTCCATCAGCTCTGCTTCAGTCAGGCCGCCTGCTGGGGTCAGGGAAGAGGGGTCAGGGGCGTGAGATGCGCCTCACAGGACCAAGGGCAAACGTCGAGGGTGGAGATAGAAGAAAAGTGGCAGAGGTCGCGGGCCACGAGCGCCCAAAGCTGAGAGGGGCTGCGAGGGCGGGTGGCTGCAGGCGGCGGGTGGTGCTGAGGGTGGGTGGCCGGCCGGCAGGCGGGCAAGGGCATGGGGGCAAGATCACAGTGAAGGAGGCGGGGCGGGGCGCGGGCACGAGCGGGTACCAGGGGCCTGGCCGAGGCCGTCCATGGCGGTGGTCAGGTCCCACATGGCCAGGCTGCCGTTGGCCTGGCCGGTGAGCAGGTAGCGCCGGGGCCGGGAGCCAAGGCGCCGCGAGGCCTCGCACTCGAGCACGGTGAAGGCGGTGGTGGGTGAGCCGTCCACGGAGCGCACCGAGCACACCCTGGGGGCGGGGCGTCACCAGGCTGCCCGGTCACTCTGGTCCACACCCCCCACCGCAGCCCCCAGCCCCCCAGTGAGCACCCCAAGCTTATCTTCCCGCTGCAGCCTCGGGAGGCGGGAGGGCTCCCTCCCCAAGGTGGGTCCACCAGCTCCCCACAGCACCCCTCCACCCTCCCCATCTGACCCCGGGCCAGGGGTCCCCCTCCAACCTCCAGCCCTCCCTCACCCAGCGGTCCCAGCTCTGCACAGGGCTCTGCCCAACAGCCCCGTTTCCGGTTCTGTACTCGAGCCCCAAGACACCACGTGGACGTACGGGGCCCCTTTGGCCAGTCCCAGCTTTGCACAGGTGCCCCTCAGCCAGGCACACCCTGCCCTCGCTTCTTTCCATGTATCCTCTCGCCTGCGTCCAGAGTGCCGCCCTCCAGCAGACCCGCCAGCTGCCCGCCCGCTGCCAGCCGCCCGCCGGGCGGGAACAAGGCCCCCTGCAGGCGCTTAGCGCTCCCTGTGCCTCCGAGCCCCCCTGACCCTCTGTCTGAGCCCCCCACCCTGACCACCGTGCCTGGCCCCCAGCCCCGTGGCCCAGCTCCCTGCTCCCAGCCCCACCCAGGCCCCTCTGCCTGTCCCCCTGTGCCGCCTGCCCACGCCCACCCAATTGCGCCCCATCTTGAAATCTCCAGCCCCCGAGGTCCTCCCCAGCCTTCGCTCCTTCAACACCCCTTGGCTGAGAGCCCCTTCTGGTCTCAGGGACCCACCCTCCTGTCGCTTCTCCTCGGACTCGCCCGTTTGACGTGAGCACCCTCACCTATGTCCAGTGGATGAGAGACGCACGAAGAGCTGGCTGGCGCTCGGCACCACCTTCTGAATGAACACCTGCTGGTCATCCCGCTCACCGTAGGGGCCTGGGGGGAGCGGGGGAGGAGCGTCAGGGTCAGCCGGGTCCCTCCTGGGGCCTCCGTGGAGCTGAGTGGGGTCCCGGGGGCTGGGGAGGCAGGCAAGCAGGAGTGAGGGGATTCTGAGTCGAGTGGCAGTTCGCAGAAATGCAATAGGGGCTGGACATGAACAGAGGTCTGCAGAGGTCAGGGAGGGTACACAGGAGGCCGGCGGGGGCGGGCAGGGTCTGGGGCGGAGGCCACGAGGCACCGATGTCATTGCCAGCGCTGCAGCCGCCGTGCCCGTCGGCCGACTCCAGGGCCAGGATCTTGAAGGAGGCGAGCGGCGTGGAGCCAGGCTGCGTGGAGATCATGCCCCGGAAGCGCGTCACGGACCACGTCCTCACGTGGTTGTTGTCGGCACAGACTGAGGAGCAGGGGGCCGAGGTCAGGCCCCTGCCCCTCCGCCGGTCAGGATTCAGGCCTCGAGTCCTTCCCTTTCCGTAACTCTCTCTTGCCCAGACTCTCCTGCTGGCACAGCCTCCAGATTGCCCAGAGCCTGCTCTCGCCTCACCCTCTGCACTGTCCGCCCCCCCACCCCCCGCCTCCCCGGACGCCGCGCTCCCATCCCCACAGTGTGGCCCCACATGCAGCCAAGGGCACTCCGCGAGCGCCCCATCATGCCCCACACCGCCCAATACCCCATGCCTGGCACACAGTAAGTGCTCAATAAAAGCCTGTTGAACCGATGGATTCTCCCCTTTCCCACAAATTCACTCTCCCCCAGACTGGTCCCTTTCAGAGTCTGAGGGGCTATGGGACCCCCAGGTCAAAATCCTCTCCCCCACTCCGCCCCCCAGGGGGACTCAGCCACCTGGCGTGGTGACCCCCAGAGTCACCCCGCTGCAGGCCGAGGCCCACCTGAGATGAGGTGTTTCTCTGATAGCATGATCTTGGTGACAGGACTGCGGTGCACGGTGAAGGTCTGGAAGAGCTGGGGCCCCGAGCCCACGGTCTCAGGGTGCTGCACGATGACACGCACCCCCCCAGAGCTGGTGCCGTAGGCAATCTCGATCCAGTTCCCACTGTCACCTGGGGGGCGCAGGGGAAGAGAGCGGCAGGGTCGCAGTGGGCCCGGACACGAGGCAGAGCAGAGCTGGTGTCAGGCGGAGAGGGGAAGGACAGACAGCGAGGTCGGGGCTGTGGAGACGAAGGGGCAGATCCGAGAAAGCGGCAACCAGAGAGAAACGAAGGGGAGATGAGCTGGAAGGGGAGAAATGCAGGAACGTGCAGAGACAAAAAAAAGAAAGGGAAATGGAGAAACAGAGAGAGCGACAAGAACCCAAGGACAGGGAGGGGAGTGAGCCAGTCGGGCACGCAGAGAGGTGGAATCAGAAAGCCAGGAGAGCGGACAGCCGGCGGGGGCACGGGGACGCGCCCTGTCACTTCTAAGGGACGCCTGGACCGGAGGCAAGTGTCCAGGAGCGCAAAGGAAACCTTTGGGGTGATGAAAGTGCTCCACAATGAAGTCAAGATGATGGTTGCGAAAGTTGTTAATCTACTAAAAAATCACTAGCCGGTACACCTGAAAGCGGTGGAATTCATGGAATGTGAATTAATGAAAATCAGCTTTGCCCGCATTAAACATGCGGCTGTGGGCTGTGCTCGCCCCAACTGCAGACTCGGGAGAGAAACACCTTCCCTGCCCCCACCCCGCCCGCGCTCTAGAGTCTGGGTATGAACAGTGTTAGTGTAAGCAGTGGTTGCTGACTGTTTGTTGAATGACTGAATGAGAGCTGGACGTATGCCACCATACATCCCACCAAATCCCACTGGTCACATGGTGGGGAAACAGGGGCGGGGGGCTGTGGCTGGCCACTGATGGCCGAAGGGGAGGCCGGGCTGTAGCTTACTGGTCTTAGGGGTGAGGTAGACGCTGAGGGCAGTGACCCCGTCTTCTGCTGGGTCTCTGTAGAGCTCGCTGACAAGGAGGTCATTGTCTTTCATGCGCAGGGGAAACTTCTGCACATCTGGGTGGGTGTGAAGGGTGGGCAGGTTTGCCAAGGTGCCCTTCCCAGGGTGGCTCCTGGGCATCGGGGGGCGGGCTGCTGCTCACCCACGTAGTAGATGGAGCCGTTGTTGCAACCCAGGAGGAGGAAGGAGCCTGCTGCGTCGTAACTGGTGATGGGCTGCACCTCCTGGACCTGGCGGGGCAGGGCAGGCGGCGGCGTCCCCCCCTGTCCTGCCCTGTGGCCTGCCCGCTCCTCCCAGGCCAGTGCCCACCAGCATCCAGGCCCCCTCCCCTCAGCCATCAGCCGCTCTGCCTCAGAAGGCCTCGGTTTGTGTTTCTGTCTCCTGATCTGGACCTTCCTGACGTCAGTTTCTCGGTTCGAGCCACCCACCAGGCATTCGGCCTGTTCTCCGCCCACCCCCATGGCCTCTCTCTGACTTCCTGTTTCCATGTCTACTTCCGCTGTCTCTGTCTCTTTCTCTCCCGTATCTGTCACTGTCTCCCAAACGCTCACACTGTTCAGGGAGGACAGTACTGTAGGTATTTTGTTTTTGTTTTACACTTTGGACACCCACCTTTGGGTGGGTGTAGAGAGAACAGCAGATGTGTACACGGACTCCGGCGAACCTCTCCTCCCCTCTCCTGCTCCCCCATCCAGGGCCTGGAGAATCCTCTCTGTTCCTTTCCCAAACCCACCCATCCTTCGCTCAGCTTGGCCGCCTCCTTCCAGGAAGGCCTCCCTGATGCGCCTTACACTTAGCACATACTTCCCCAGCCTCTAGGGCACCCCGGGTTGGGTGGGGCCCGGAAGCCCACCCCGAGTCCCTGTTGTCTGGGCCCCGGGTGGACCGCTCTGACCTGCCAGTGCTTGGTGACGGCGTTCCACACCCCGATGCGCCCCGTGTGGCTCGTGGCAATGAGCTGATTTCCAACGAAGAATAAGGCCTCCACGGGCACCTCCAGGCGGAAGGCTCCTGCAATGGGCGGGGATCCCTCAGCCAGCACCCCGCTTCGTGGGGGAGAAGGAGAGGGCAGGAAAACTCCACAGGGCAGAGGGTTCAGCTGGGCCATGGAGTCTTCACAGGGCGGAGGCAGGCAGGGGTTTTGGAGGATGACAGTGGGGTGATGTCTGCAGTGTGGGGGACTCTAGTGGGATGAAACACGATGAGACTGTCACCAAGGCAAGAACTCGAGGGATGCCAGAGGAGCCTCACAAGAACTGGGGTGTTAGGGAAGAATTAGCTGCACAAGTCTACAGGGAATGCAGATTCTCACCAGCTCTGGGTTCTGACGGGGAAATCCTAACAGTACAGAGATGGAAAATGCAGTGAATTCTGCTGGAGCAAAGAATTGTATGTGGGTGCATTTTTCTACCAAGCCCATGAATTCTAGTGGGTTGGAGCATCTTAATAATGCAAACAATTCTTACAGGTTTGAGAATTTTAGGGGGTGGGTTATTTAATTTTGTTTTTAGTAAAGATTTATTTATGAATGTATAGAAGAGCTGGGGTGCAGGCCAGAGTATGGGGGATGAGAGGATTCACCAGGCACAGTGGGGAGCAGGACAGGCAGATCTACGGAAACCCACTGCTGAAGGGAGCAGCAGGAACACAGGAGAGGTCTGCTGTGCCCTGGGGGTCACTCCCTGGCTGGGGATCGAACTCGTGCTGCAGTGGCTGCCGCCAGCTTCACAGTGTTGAGACTTCACCCCCTGCGCCACCAGCGAGACCCAAGGGTGGGTTATTTTAATGCATCACCAGTTACAGCAGGATTCTGGGGGGCTCGGGTTCTGGCCAGGGGATGACATACCTATCTCAGAGCCACCGCCTTCTGCCTGCAGAGCCCACAGCAGGATCTCGCTGCCTGTGGCTGCGGCCACCATCTTGTCATGCTCCCCCAGGGCACCCCCAAGCACCCGGGCTGTGAGCGCCAGTCGCTCGATGGGCCAGTCCAGGCGGGGACTGGAGAATACCAGCTGCCAGCCAGAGGCTTCCTTCAACCTGCAGGGGACACCATGAGCCCTCGCCCCCAAAGGCCCCCTCTCCGTAGGGCGCGGAGTCCCCCGGCCCCTGCCCCCTGAGCACCTGTAGCAGACGAGGAACTGGGTGTAGGCCACGGCGATCCAGTCGTGGTGTCCACACACCAGACGCACCATCCCCGGCTCCTCGGGTAGCCCTTGGGGGGAAGAGCAGGCTTCAGGGCCGGGCGTGGGGCTATGGTGCCCCCGCCTCCCTGGAGGCAGAGACGTACCCGAAGGGGAGGGAGGCGCCTTCTCGTCCAGCATTCGGCCCAGCAGCCCTGCATGGCCCAGGTGAGGGGGCATTGTGTTGCTCCTCCGAACAGGAGCTGGGCGGGCTCCTGCCTGCTGGGGGCCCACCAGGCTGTGGCGGTTTCGCCGCTTCACTGGGAACACTGCGGTAGGGAGAAGGGACAGAGTGACAGTTGTCACCATTCTAGTAGCTTCCATGAAGCAAGCACTTAAAATAAGCCAGGTACAGATGTGCCAGGTGCCGTGTCCCGACGGAAAGACTTCAGGAGATGCCGGGACCCACATCAACGGACCCCGAATCACACACCATGTGTTTCTCCCTTTTCCATTTCTTTGAGGCGATCGCAGAAGAAAACTGCAGTATATTTGCTAATCTTCCCTCTTTTTAAAATTTTTGTTAATATTTATTTTATTTTGTAGAAGAACGAGGGAAGGTCAAAAGAGTCGGGGTGAGCGGATTCACCAGGGACAGAGTGGGGAGAAGAGGCGGACTGACGAAGTCTACTGCTGAGGGGAGCAGCGGGGAGACAGGAGAGGTCTGCTGCAGCATGTGGGGTATTTAGAAGAGTTTAATAATAGTTACTGCTGGGCTTCCTTTTCTCATTTACTTTGTATTTATGGTATAAAGGCAGTGATGTAAAACTTCTATTTAAAGTGATTTTTTAATGAGGTAAAACTAAATTAAGACAACAGGAGCATGAACTATAGATCAGAAGCACTCTCTCGGGGAGGAGGGGGGAGGGGGTGAGGGGGCACAGGGGACTGTGGTGATGGTGCCTGGGTGAGTCGGGGGTGGGAATTTCACCGGGAAACCATACATTGTACAAAGGTTAAGAATGATGTAATGAACATGTTAAAGAATTAAAAAAAGAAAATAGGACCATAGCTCTTCCTATTTGGCAGATTTCATGAAGGTAGTAGGTACTGACCGGGATTAAAGAAATAAAGCCATGAATTGAATCTCCCCACCAAACCTAGTGGACGCCAGTCCCCTGAAACACTGGGGACAATGTGATGGACTGTTCTAAGGTCCCACGTGGATTATAATCAGTAAGTACCTTTAGTATTTATCCCCTCCATGTAAAGGACACCCATCCACAAGGAAATTAAACCAGGACTCCAACTCAGATGGGGCCTGGGGGCATGCCTCTCCCTTCAAGGAGAGTTCCCTGGCCCACTGCCTCCTGGGAATGCTGTTTTCCAAGCATCAGGTTAGGCATGGGATATGGAACTACAACTCCCATAGTGTCTCAGGGTTCAAAGACCCTAAGGGAGGACGCAGCCTTATGGGAAATGTAGTCCTTACTCGACCTTCCTCACAACCAAGAGTATGCCCACCTGGTGGAGGTAGGTAACCATTGAAGAGGACGTTTCCACAGGAAGACCGATCCAATTCTTCCCGCAGCTGCAGAAGACGAACTGAGGCAGAAGAACTCTATAGTTGAAACTTGGGGTACGAAGGCAGATTCTTTCCCCCTCCCCATCTCTTTCGCCACGGAATGTCACCACTTAGCTTCAGGACCAAATCCAGTGCGCTCAGCTCTAACCCAACCTTCCTTTGGGAGGGACAGGGGCGAGGGAGGATCACTAGACTACTGGTTTTCTATGCCATGAAGGTGCTGAGGGGGTCCCCACTTACCCAGAGGAGTGAGCCCATAGAACTGGGCTTCATGGAGGAGGCTGGAACCATGGACACCTCTGTGGAAAATTGATTAGTGGTTAGGTTTGGGGAGCCTGAATGAGCAGAGAATTTTGAAGATAAAGTTTTCAAAACTGTGAGTTTTGATGAGTCCAGATTCCAAGGATGATATGGTGGTGGAAATATGAGTGTGGGGAATTCTAGGACACAACTTAAATATGATCAAGGTTCTCAAAGAGAACGCCAATAGAATGGAGTGAAAGTGAAGAAGACCGGAGAGAAGAGACTTGGCAAGGGCTAAGCTCCCCTTTATCCTGCATGCCAACCTGGGGTCCAATTCTTTGGTGCGCAGGAAGTTGAGGATGGGGGCGAAGACGGTGGGGTCCCTGTCGATGAAGATCTGCCGGGGGACAGAAGATGGATGGGGCAAAGAGCAAGGCGGAGCCGGGTTCTGTCCCACCTACTGCACACCCCCCACCCCCACCCCCACTTCAGATCTTGCTCTACTCACTGCTCCGGTCTCATCTTTCAGCGTCGAGATACGTCCGCTCAGAAGACTGGAGGGAGGGGACACAAAACAGGTGTCACGGGCTGGGGTGCGGGTGGAGCCGGGGTTAGGTCTCCCCCCACCCCCGTCCCGCCTTCCCAATCACCTGGAGAAGAAGGAGTCTGGGATCCAAGTGAGGGTCTGGCGCGAGGTACTGAATCTGACGGGGGAAAGTGAGCTGACGCGAGGTGCCCGAGGGTGGGGAGCGCGGCGCCCAACCCCAGGAATTCCTTTCTCCCGGGGCAATTCCTGGCTCTCGCGCCTCCAGCAGGGGGCGGAGCAACTCTTGATGGACAGGGATTTCCTCCGCGAGAGGCGGGGTCGCCCAGCCCTCTCCCTGCCCCCAAGGGTGGGGTCTCAAGGGCCTCACACACTCACCTCTTGCCTCCCACATTCAGATGAATCACTTCCCCGGGAGGTCCCCGTCCCGGGACCCCCTCAGCGGCAGGCACTACAGCTGCCATGACCCCCGGGCGAGCCGGCCGGCCCGCACCGGCTTCCGGGTGTGCAACCGGGACCCGCCCCCGCCGTGTGGCTATTGGCTAGAGACCGCCGGAGCTTCCGACGATTGGGCAGTGCGTCCATCCGTCGCAGTTAAAAGCCCCACCTCTTTAAAGGGGCCCGCCTTTCCTGTCCTGGACGGGGCGGACCTGTGGCTCGTTTGGGGAAGTTTAGTAAAGAGGCGTAACATTCCTCCATCCCTCTGGGGTTTCTGTTTTAGGAATGGCATCTTTGTCGCGGGGCAAGTGTTCAGGCCCCGAAATTAGTCCAGGCTAAAGAGGACATGTTTATGTTTTCTGCAGCCACGAGCTCTTCGCCAATCCTCCCACATACATCCCATGAAAAGCGAACAAACCAGCGTAGACCGTCAAAGCCAAAGGATTTATTATAGGTACATACAGTGTGCGCCTGCCACACCGCCCCACGCCCCTGGGGCCCCAGCGGCTTCTCCAGGCGATGGGGCTGCCTGCAACCCGGTTCCCCCACTCCTCAGGGAGGTGCTCCAGCCAGAAGCATGCAGGGGGAGGGCTTCCCCTCGCCCCTCCCCTCAAGAAGAGGCTTTTACAACTGGAGGGGGGAGGAGAGAGGAAGACAGTTTTGAGCTTTGACGCCCCTCCCATTAAAAGCCTTCGCGGATGCGGGGCGGGGGAGGAGGAGGTCGACGTTTTGCAAAAATAAACTAAGTCAGGAATTAACCGCATGGCTCTGAGGCGGTGGAGTGTGGGGGTTAGGGCCCCTTCACTCCCTCTTCCCAGACAGAGATCAAGGCAGCATTGGAAGTGAGGTAAAGGCGAGGAAGGGGCGTCCCCTCCCCACCCCCTAGCACCCTGGATGGTCCAGGGGACCTCACCAGCGCCCCCTTGCCCATCCCTAGGGCGGAGAGGGGGGCAGAACTATCGCCCCCACCACCCCAGCTTCTTGGGGTAGGATCTGGGGTTTGGGGCAGGGGGCTTGGCTCAACTGGCCCCTTACCCGCCCCTCCACCAAGCTCAGTTATTGCATAAAAATAATGGAGCCCCAGCACCTGGGGTGGGGGGTGGCGAGCGGGAAGGGGCCGAGATATGGCTATAGGGGCAGCAATCTCCCCACCCCTTCTTGGGGTGCAGGAGAAGTCCCCTCCTTTCCAGTGCCCGTCATGGCGCATCCGCAGTGTTGCTGAAACAAGGGACATCCACGCCCCTGCCAAAGAGAAAGTGTCTTTGTGCCCACAGTGCGGAGAGGAAGGGCAGGGAGAAAGATAAGATGTCTCAGGCCCTGGGGGTGGGAAGTCACTTCCGGCGGCCGCTGGCTCTGCGCTCCCGCTCCCCGGCCTCTCGCTTGGGGTTGCCTTCATCTGTGGACGATGTGGTGGGTAGTGTCTGTCCCCAGCGGGCAATCTCTGCGTGCTCCCCCACCGAGGCAGCCACAGCCTCTAGCCAGCCATTCATCTCCTCCTGGAGAGAGAAAGGGCACAGTCCACGTTTGGAAGGGAGAAGGCTGGGCACCCAGTGAGTCCGCAATCAGACTGCCCTCTCTGAACCTCAGTTTCCTCATCTATTAAGTGGGGTGATGATGGTGATGAGAATTCTGACTTACACAGCACCGAAAGGTCTATTCTAAGCACTTTGGTGGATCAGCTTTTGGATCGTTTAATCCTGTGCCGTAGGGTTATGCTGAATCCCCACTAGAGACATACAACCACCAAGAGCAGTGGTGCTATCAGCAACACCCACAGCACTGGCATTTAGTAGGCCTTAGTCTGAGTGCTGCCTGTATCCATTTATTACATGATCACAATAACTCTATAGTGGAAGACTTATTTTCCATTTTAAGGCTGAATGAAGGGAAACACGAAGAAAACCAAGCCTACGCGACAGCCTCTTGTGAGGATGAACGAGATAGCAAGTGGTGGGGTTTTCAGTATCTTTCCAGTCACCCCCACACCTGCACCTCCTCCCCTCATCTCTGCCCTGAGCCCCAGCCCCAGTGCCATCTCCCCATCTCGCCTTCCTCTTCCTCACTCCCCAATGTCCAGCCCATTGCTCTCCCACTTGGGTGTCTGCCCTGGCGGTGCTTCCACTCTGCCGCTCCAATCTCCCTGCTCACCATTACCTGGCTCAACAGCCTGCAGTGGCTCCCAGTGCCCTAGACTCTGGCCTCCTCAGACGGGCCCTCAAAGCCCCCCGAGATGCAGCCCCTGGGAGCCTCCCCTGCACAGTTACGCCTCCACAGTTCTGTGCCCTTGGAGCTCTGACCTTGGAGTTCCCTCATTCTGCATCATCCCTTTATTTTTTAAGGCAGGTTCCCTCCTCTTTCCACTCTCACCTCAGAGGTCAAGGTAAGAAGGTTAGATCTTTCTGGCTTCCAGGGAGTCCTCCACCCTCCATGCTTCCCTCCTGCCACCCAGCAAGGTTAGGAACTTCCTCTGAACTCTCACTGCCCATGGGCTTTCCATCAGCAGCGTGAAGGGAACTCTGATTGTGCTTCCCCTCTCATGCACAGCCCACCGCTCGCTGCCTAGAGTCAGCCAGTTGGGTCATTCCAAATGGCCACATGAAGGCCACGGGTTAAGACAGCACTATGGAGCTATCCCCAAGCCACAGCAGCATGAGTTCGATCCCTTCCAGGGAGCTGACTCACGTGGCACAAGCAGACCCCTTCTGCCTCCCCAGTGCTCCCCTCAGCAGTGTATTCTCCTGTTCTGCTCCCCACTCTGTCTCTGGTGAATCCTCTCACACACACAACCCCCCCGTGCACCGTGGCCTGTACCCCGGTTCTGTGCAAAAATAAATTAATCCTTAAAAAGGAAAAGAAAAAAAAAAAAGGGGCCACATGAAGATGAAGGAAGACTATATCTCACCTCATCTTTAGCCTGGAGCAAAAATTCGCTGCCATCCTGGGTCCTGTAGGAGGGTGACACAAGACTTGGGGGATGTGGTTCAGGGGCCCAACCCACCCATCCAACATCTGTCCTTTAGGGGAACAGGGTATGGCCAGGATGGGGAAGATGCCCCTGGGACCCCTCCCTTAGACCACTGTGGGGGGGCTCACTGGAGTTTGAAGACATGCTTCTTTTTCTTGTAGTCACTAGCCACCTCGCTGGTGGCCTTGTGCAGGCTGAGCAGTGGCTCCCCGCCATGAGTGCCCCCAGATGCTGGGCCCTTGGAGTCCTTGTAGAAACCCAGCTCTCCCTTGCTGAGCACGCAGTAAAGGCTCACCCATGACCTGGGGTGACGAGAGGGGACTCAAGACAGAGCCACAGAACTCTGCCTGGATATGCTTCATTAATACCCTCAAGGGCTGAATATGTCTGAGCCTCCCTACCTTTGCCTTCGTGGGGATATATGCCTGAAGTGCTCTTCCTGGTGGCTGTTCCCAAACTGGGGTGGGGTGGGGTGGGGGACTCGAACTCTCTCAATCTCAAGGCTGCCCACTGCTGGGGGTGCCTTTCCTTATCCAGTCTCATAATTTCGTAAAGGAAAGCCTTCAGCGGTCCCTCAGAACCCTTGCTTGTATGTCTCGCGCTCTACTCCCTAACCCTTCGAAACCTCCTGAAGGAGATCTACTGGTCTATTGCCTACAGTGAGGTATCCCCATCACCCCAGTCACCAAGCCCTGATCGAGGGAGTCTCATGAGCAAAATGCACCCAGGCGCCCCTGTTTATTCCCACCTTGGCCTAACGCTTCCAGAGCCCAGGGGCAAAATCTCAACTTCCCTTGCCCACTTCCCATCCTGGGGCCAGGTCTCACCGCACAGGTATGCCAGCTTTCCCCTTTTGGCTCCCCCCAGATCCGGCCTCTCAGTTGGACACAAAGGGGTTGGGCAACAGGGAGCTGGACTCCCAGAGAAGGCACATCACCATAAGGGCCCCCTTGGGAACTTAGGCGGTGCCCTCCACACCGCCCCCCCCAGCCTCTCCCCGTTGGGGTTCCTTCCTTTCAGACCCTCTCCCGGTTTGAAACATCCAGGTTGGCCCCACCGCACTCATAGGTTGGACGGTGTCTCTAAGCTCCACCGTACAAACACTGGAACCCTCTAGACCAGCTCGGGAGGTGGGCTCGTGATTTACTCAAGTTTGGAACATTTCCCTCACGTTCTGCCCCCTTGGAAACTCGGTCCGCTCACCCATTGGACGCACTTATCTCGGACCCCAGCTCCGCCGTCGGTCCTAGAACGTAAGCCCCGCCCCCTCTTCAGGCCCCGCCTTCCCCCGCCACCAATTGGACGCCCTGAAGCTTAACCCCACCCCCTCCTCGCCTCCTCAAAGCCCACTATTCGCTCGTTAGACACTTTGAGTTTGGGACCCGCCTTCCAAAGCCCCGCCCACGCGCTCACCGGTTGGACGACTTGCGGTTAGCGTCGAGCTCGCGCTTGCGCAGCAGGAAGCCCTCGTGCTGCACTGTATGAGTGGGCGGAGGCGGAGGCGCGGGGGCGGAGCCGCCCTGGGCCGGGGCGGAGCGCGAGCGCCGGCTTCCCCCGCCCTCACCACCCTCTCGCGGCCGCGGCCGCCGTCGCGGCTTGGGCCGGTCCCGTGCCCGCGGCCGGTCTGGCCGAGGTGTCCGCTCGAGCGGCTCAAGCCCGTTGGGCAGGCGGCCGGGGGGAAGCTCGCGAGGCTGAGGCAGCGACGGCTGTGTGAAGGGAGGGGGAAGAGGGGTGCTGTCCATAGGGGGACGTGGGGGTCATCTGTCTGGGGGAACTCACGGGTCTGGGGGTCCCACCTGCCTGTAGGGCCATCAATTTTGTTTGGGAGGGCTAGAGGCCCAATTCTTAGGGACCCCACCGGTCTTGGGAGTGAGGGTCCCTAAATTTGGACTCCCTGTCCATCTTGGGGAGAAGGGACTAGACTTAGGGAGGCCGGGGCACAGGTAGGTGGAGCTGTCTGTAGGAGGAATCTGAACTCTGTAATGCGATTCTGAGGAAATCTGGAGAAATAAAAGCCCAGGACAGATGTGGGGCAACTGGGGTTTGTGTGTATGGAAGGGCAGGGTTTCCTGGGCCCTGTAACCTCAAAATTTGTAAGGGAGAACTCTCAGGATTGTAGGGGTTCATCTGGTGGCCCTCTCTATCCCTTCAGAATGTCTGTCTGCAGGCTTCATAAGTAAGGGGACGGTGATACCAGGATCAGGCACCAGTGCTTCTGGGGTCCTGACTTCTGCTCTTCAGAGAGGGGTCTCCACAACCCACCCACCCCATCCTGAGGCTCAACTTACCCCAGCAGGGAGCCCTGGGCCTGCCTCTTTCTCCTGCAGCTGCTCCACAATGTCAGCCAGGGTTGCCTTCCTGGGGTGGGGGTGGGGGGGAAGCACACAAAGACCTGGTAGAACTGGGGTGCTTTCTCCCAGAACCAGCATGGCTGCCTGGAGGAGCCTCCACCTCTTAGCTTGCGATGCCAGGCTGCCATGTCCATCCCTGCAGTGGCCTCGCTCAGGAGTTGGCCTTACATGCCACCGGTGCTTGGCTCATGCCTGCTGGAGAGAGGACGGAACCCCTCTCCCCTTTGAGTTGAGGCAGCAAAATGCAAACTGGTGTCTGAAGCCTTTGAACATAGTGTTGCCTTTTCCGAGCCCATCCTGAGCCCCAAAATCCCCTGGAATTTCCCCAACCCAACCCTGACCATTCTGGGCTTTCACTGTGCGGTGACATGTCCCTTTCTGCCACTGGACTGTAAGTCCCGTGAAGGCAGGCTGAGGCTGGCTCCACCACCCGGTATCCGTGGCAGTAGGCAAACATTCATGAAACAAGAAATTTAAAACGGGTCAAGAAGACACTGTCTATGAAAAGTATTTGACCAAAGATCTCTTTCTGGGGACATAGCTGATTGGGGCCACCTGTCCAAAACTCTCCTTAACTCAGGAATCCCAGCGTAGTGGATGGAGCCAGCTTCACCCAAACTGACGCCTTCCCCGGCGGGGCTTCGGTTGCCCCACGGTAGGGCAGAGATGACAACAGCCATCAGCGTGTAAAGTGGAGGCTGTGATAAAGGGCTTTCTCTCCAATCAGGGGGTGATGGTTCCAGTATTAGCCCAGGGGAGACCTGGTGCCACGTGAGGCCAATGCCAGGCCAGAACTCGGTGCCCTAGACGCTGCTCCCGGCGGCCTCTCGGAGATCTACAGCCATGCTTCTCCCACTTCCTGGCCCCATGGCACTCACCCCTTGGCCAGGTCCCCTCTGGTGGGCGTCTCCTGCTCGCTGGACTCCTGCCGCTCCAGTCTCCGCTCCCGCCGCTCCCGCCGCCGCTCCATCTGCTCGTAGCGGCCCAGCGTCAGGCTGTGTGCCACGTCGTGCTCCCCTGACTCCTGCCGCTCGGACCTCCGCCTCCGCGCAGTCTCCTCGGGTTGATCTGCCGATTCCTGCCGATCTGGCCGACGCCTCCTGGGCAGCTCCTCCGCGCGGTCCGCCGCCTCCTGGCGCTCCGCCCGCGGCCGGACTTGCTCCGCCGCCGCCGCGGGGACGCCGGGGGCCCCGGGGTTATCCGCTGCGTCCTCGGGTGCGGCCGGCGGGGCGGTGGGCTCCACCCTCCCCGGGACCTCCGGCAGCCGATCGATACGCGGCTGGAGGCGCTCGGGCTTGAGCTCCTGGCGCACGTACCCCACCCGGGTCCGCACCTCGGCCGACAGCGTGTCCGAGGCCCGGCGGGCCAGGGGCTCCAAGCCCCTCTCGTAGCCGGCCGGCCGCAGCAGGGGCGCCGCCTTGGCCGCCAGTTCCGTGGGATCTCCAAAGAACTTGCGCCCCAGCAGCGGGGTGGGCGGCTGCTTGCTCTGTTCTGCTTTGAGTTTCTCGATCTGGGGATGATGGGGTGAGAGCGGGCATTACCGGGTGAGGGGCAGGGGCGGCAGGAAGGGCAGCTGCGACTGGTCTGTCTCAGCACCGAGTTTATTAGTGAAAAGCAAGGTTGTCCAGGCCTGTGTCCACACTTTGCTCTCTGCTGGGAACCTAATTCCTATATTCTCTTGCCAAAACCTAGTCGGGTTTTTTACTTTTACTGGTGTCTAAACGGTGGCTTTCTCTACCTGCCTTCTGATCCCCATCTCTTCCGTCCTTCATGTCTCCACCAACTGGGACCTTAAGACTTTCTATTACGGTCTCTGCACCTCATTCCTCCAGTGCCAGCTCAGACTCTCTCAGGCCAGAACAAGTATTGTGGCTCCAGCGCCCCCCCTCGACCCCCCCAGGTGCCCTTACTCCCCCAGCCCGGGACTGGGAGCTCAGAGAGGGTCTATCTGGGGCCTCAACACAGCGCAGAGCACCAAGTCTTGGTGCACCTGTCTGCTATAGAGGGATGGGACGGGGCTTCCGGGAGGGGCGCTGGGGCGGGATTTGGGGTGCTGACCGTGGTCAGGCGCCGCAGGGAGCTGAACCTCTCTTCCCAGGCTGCAGCGGCTTTGCGGAAGGCCTCGTGCCGTCGGATAAGCTGCTCCACCTCGTCCACGCTGCTGCCCAGCTCCCGGCTCTGCAGAAGCGGCTCCTGGGCCGTCAGCCAGGCATCGGCCACCACTGCCTCTTGGGCAAACTGGTGCACCTCCAGCACTGAGGGGACATGCAGGCGAGGTGCTGGGATACCTGGGGCCCTCCATGGGGTGTGGGTGTTTTCTCTGACACCGCACACACACACACCCCTGGCTTCTCCCATCAGCCCTGACCACTATGGCCTCTGCAGGAATGAGGGGCTGGGGCTATTTCTGACGGCACCAGCTTCCGCCCTCGGTGTGTCACCAGAGATTCAACAGCAATTAGCCCCCTCGGCCACCCCCGAGGGCCACAACCCTCTGGGTCTTTGCAGACTTGCTGGTGTCCCTGAGCCCCGCCCCGGGGCCCCACTCACTCTGCTGCAGCCACTCCCAGTGGCGGTCCCACTTGTCCGACACCTCCTCCTTCCTGGCCCCCAGCTTGTCCAGCTGTGCTTGGATCTGGGGGTGGCGGGTGGTGGGAGAAGTGTCAGGGTAGCTCACCCCAAGGGCCCGGGAGGTGGAGGAGAACCCCTGCCCCTCCCCACCTCTTCAGCCATGGCGCTCTTGTTGAGCAGCAGAGAGCGCCCCAGCTCCTGGCAGGCTGTCAGCTCGGGCACCCGCACCTCCAGCTCCGTCTTCAGGCCCTGGTGGTAGTTCATGAGCACCTCCACGGACGACACGTCCCTAGATGGGCACCGGCCGGGATCTGAGCCCAGGGCAGCCTCCCTGGCCCACCCCATGTATGCAGCGGCTGGGAGCGCAAACCCCTGGGGCTGAGGTTCACGGCACCTCAGGACAGCCGTGTCCTGTCGCCCAGTTCTGAACGCAAGGGCGTCCCCGGAGTTCAGCGTTCTCCGGGTGCCAGAGTGGCACACGTCAGTGGTCCTAACCTAGGATTTTAAAATCCAGTTCTCGTTTTCTCCACTTATGCCTCTCTAGGTTCAGCTGGTGGCCAGATTCATCGAAGGCTGTGCTGTCTACTGTGGCGCTGCTAGACCTGCATGGCAGCTGAGCACTTAAAATGTGGCCAGTCTGGGCACGGGTGAACTGGTTGCGGGAAGTCCATGGGGATTACAACAGAGGGAAAAATGCACAAAATGAAGAATGATGTAAAAAATAAATAAATAACACGTGGCCACTCTGGACGGAGAGGCGTGGCCCTGTATGGCCAACACCATAACCTGCAGATTTACTACAAAAAAAGGAATGTCAAACAGCGCCCTGTGTTTACCAGTAAGTATATGTAGAGGATGTAGATGGTGTTTGGGGTACTCTGGGCTCAATAAACTGACTCACTCAAACGAGTCTGCACTCCTTTCTTTTTCCCCTTTGAAGGTGGTCATGAGCAAACCCTCCGTTCTGTTTGCTCTGGCGGCTTCTGCAGGATCACTACCCGACAGCCCTGTGCTCACCCCACGGGTCCAAAACAAACTCCAGAGTTCTGGAGGGCCCAGCGGGCAAGTGACTTTGCAGCACTTCACAAGTCCCAGCTGAAGGGTCCCGGATGTGAGGCTGCTGCAGAAGACGCGAGACACCTGGAACAGCCTTACCGACTCCCCTCCCGCCTCCCACCGTGGCCTGCCCTGCAAGGCTCCATTCATCTCAGTAAATACCCACGTTTCACAGGGACTCTGCTGCCCCTCAGGTTTTCTGGGAGCTAATGCATCAGTTGAGAAGGGACCTCTGAGACTTTAAAACATACCCTGCGCCATGATAGGAAGCCCGAGATCTGTTTTGAAACAACTCGACAAGGGACAGAGGGGCTTTAGGGGAACGCAGAGATGATGTGTCCCACGTGCTGGCCTCGCGGGATGGTCGCTGGATTTGCGTGTGTGTGTTCACCATGCTGCTGCTGCTGCTACTTCTGTGCGTTTTTGAAATTTTCTCAACAGACTTTTTCTTAACTCTAAAACCAAACACTTCTCATCTCTGTAACACTGCAGTGAACTAAGCTGCCATCACCTCTCACATGTGTTCGAGCTGAGGGGCCGTAACTGGTCTACCTGCTTCTTCCACCTCTGTCCGCTACAGACAGTTTCCCACAGGGCAGAGAAGAGGCAAACCCCCCCAAAGGCATCCTATCACCTCGCTAACCTCCTATCACCTCGCTAACCTCACATACGCACTCCATCCAGCCACAGTCACTGGCTAGCTCTTCCTCAAAGGAGCCAAACTACTACCTACCTCAGGTAGTAGTTTGCACCTGCTGATCCCGCTGTCTACAAAACCCTTCCCCAAGACCTCACCCACCTCACCATCATGTCGTTCAGGGCTCCACTCAAACGTCATCTCCCCAGAGAGGCCTTGTCCCCTTCCCTTGCTTTATTTTTCTTCAGAGGACTTATTACTATCTGAAGTAGTATTAGGTGTTTGTTTGCTATGCATGGCCTGTCTCCACCCTCGAATGTAAGCTGTGTCAGTCACTGAGAACTTGGCCTTGCTCCCCACCTGACACACAGTAGGCATGCAGGAAATTTTCCTTGGGTAAGTGAAGATGGGGTCCAGGCCTCACAGTCACAGAAGCAACGCTACGTGAGGGCAGGTCTAGTCCCTAAAAACACCCACAGCAGCCCCCCACTCTCTTTCCTCATCTGCAGCTGGGTGCGGAAGTTCTGGCAAGAGAGTCTCAGGCCCTGCGAGAAAGGACGCGGCTCCCAATGGCGGCGCAGGCTTCTCCCAGACACGCACCTCAGACGTTCCGCCAGCCCTACGTCAGCGCCTACCCGGCTAAGCCACCCTAAAGCCCTGCTGCTCCCCATCCCTGCCCTGGTTTCAACCCCACAGGGGGGCACCTGGGAAGGACTGAGGGCAGGAGATGCCCCCCGCTGAGCCACACACACAAGCATTTACAGCAGGGCCTGCCACACAGTGGTGCGGGCCGAGGGCGCTGCCCAGAGGCAGGTAGGGGCCGGAGGTGGGATGAGGGCACCTGGGTTTGTCAGCCGCCCCAATCTGGCCGGCGATGCCGTCCATCCAGGAGAGCAGGTCCCGGGCCTGGCTGTGGAAGCGCAGGGCGTCGGCCGTGGAGCTGACGTGCAGGCGGGCGTCCTCACAGGCGGCCAGCAGCTCCTTCCAGCCCTGCAGCACCTCCTGCTCCCGGCTGGCAATGGCCTCTGCGTGCTCGCCCGCGTACACCGTCCGCAGCTGGGCTGCCCCCTCCTGCAGCTGGCGGACCTGGGGGGCATACCAGGTCGAGCACCAGCCCTCCACGGGGCAGGCTCTGCGGGCTGGTGGAGCCCAGAGGTGCACAGGGCCTGGCCCTCCTGGGCCCAACGCACACAGGGCTCCCCCCCTCTCCGCTGCCCGATTTCTTTTGGTCTCAGAGCTCTAGTTCTCCTGGGCCCACCTCTACCTCGGGCCAGGCCTCTCTGACAGCCTTCCGGAAACCTCCTTCCACCCCTGTGTCTGTGGGACGCTCCCAGTGAGTTTTACTCAGTTTTTCCTGGACCCGCTATCTCCGCCCAGCTTCCTTCCGAATAAGCTTTTCGCCTTTTGCCAAGCTCCTGCCATTGGGTCCTCAGACCCGCTGCTCACCCTATGGCCTTGAGCAGCTGACTTCTTTGGGCGCGAGCCGCACAACCCTTTCAGGCCACCGGCAGCCCTCACGATCTCGCCCTGCGTCCGGCGTCCTCTGCCGGGACCCGCAACCCCGTTTCCTGCCGCGGTCTGAGCTCTGAGGCCCACCCTTGCACTCGCGCCGGGTTTCTTGGCTCCTGCTCCCACTCCCGTCAGCTGCGCGGTCTGACCTCTATGTCCATTAAATCCACACCCGTGGATTTTCTTTATGCAAACGACGCCATCTCTGGCAGAGGCTGTCTCCTGGCTGCCTGCCCCACGCCGCACTTCTCCTCGCCCCTCAGCAACCTGTCGGGGCTGCGAATGACGCGCCTGGTAGTTTCTAGAGTCCCTGGCCCTTCTCTACGGAAGACACGGTCACATTTCTACCGCTCAACTACCACTTTCTTCTGCCTGCCGCCTTGCCGCGCATCAGGCAACCAAGGCCTGTGCTCTGCCCTAGTGTCTCGATTCTCTGTTCTGTGGCCCGTTTCTCTCTGCCCGAGAGGATGTGGGCCTGCTTTACCTCTTGGCCCACCTGCCCACGCCCCTCGACTACCTTGTCCTCCCTCCTCCCCTCCCTCCCTCCCACCGCTCCTGGCCGCCGGCGCCCCACCTGGGACACAAGGAGCTGCAGGTCGTGTTCAAAGGCGCGCAGCGTCCGTTGCATGGAGCTGGCGCTGGGTCTCGGCTCAGGGGGGGCGGTCAGGCGGGGCAGCCGCCGCCGCTTCTCCTCGATCTGCCCCTGAAGCTCCCGGGCATCGCTGAAGAACTTGTGCAGCTCCCGAGAGGCGGCCAGCAGCTGGCCGCGGGTGCCCATCAGCTCCAGCAGCTCGGCCCAGGCCTCGTTCAGGCTGTCCTTCCACTCCGCCATGGTGGCCGCCGCCGCGTGGCCGCAGTCGATGAGCTCGTCCACCATCTGGTTCACGGCCGCCAGCCGCTCGCGGCCCGCGGTGCCGGTCTCGCTGGCAAACTCTGAGAATTTCTCCTGCAGCACCTGCCGCCGGGAAGCAGGGGACAGAGCATGGGCAAAGGAGCGACGTGCCCCTGCTGCCACCGATCGGGGTGAGAGGTCAGCACGGCGCTGCCCCCGGGGTACTACCGCTGGCAGGGAAGAGGCACAGCCATGCTATCAATGCCAACCGGCGCAGAGTAACCGACGCAGCCGCCATCACAGTAACAGCCATGATGGAAGTCAGAAAACAGCAGGAGCCTAACAGCTGACGCCCACTGTGTGGGGCCTGCCCGAAGTGCTGCAGCTTCACGGATTCGCCTAGCCTCCGGGACGGCCTCCACGCGGGGGTTCTACGATTATCCTCACACTATGGCCGGGAAAACTGAGGCCCAGAGGCCATCAGCAGCACAGGCAGGGCTCGCTGAGGCTACTATGCCGACCAAGGATGCTCACCGTGACGTGCTCAAAGTCCTGGCCGAGTTCAGGCGAGCCGGCCACCACCTCTTTCTCCGCGATCCAGTGCTCCAGCTCGTCCACCTGGCGGCTGAGCTGGTACAGCCAGTACTGCTGCTCCAGACTCACCCTGCGCTCCTCACCCAGCTCCTTCAGCGCCACGTACAGCCGGTCCACCTGAGACTGCCGCCGGCTGATCTGCTCGCTGAGGGGGACAGGGAGCGGCAGGGCTGGAGCCCCCGAGGCCTCGAGGCCAGAGCCGGGCCCTCTGCTCTCAGGGCAGGGCAGCCCCTCCAGGCAGACTTGAGTCCCAGCGGGCCTCTGGCGGACCGCGCTCCTCAAGGCTGGATCCGGTCAGCCCAGCAGTGGCCACTCAGTGCCCTGCCCGGAACCTCAGCTTCTCTAAGCTCTACAAGCTGCTCGGGCCTTTCTCTCAGGTGCCGTGCCTGCTCCTCCAGGGTGGGGCACCAGACTCCTGATGTGGGTCCCCAGCCAGGTGCAGCCCCAGCCTGCAGGCCCCCAGAGTCAGGAGTCTGGCTCCGGATGCCCTTTCAGAGCTTCCCCCTGGCCCAAACCACCCAGACGTGGCCCCAACTCTGGACCCCAGAGAGGCCGCATACGGTCTGGGGTAAAGAGGGCCCCCGACCAGGCCCCGTCACGGCACCCAGGCTTTTCTGTCCTCCCCGTCCGTGGGCAGAAGAGGAACCTGCCCTGTGTGCTTACTTCCTGCCTCCCGCACATCTAGGGTCCTGCCCCCCCTTTCTAATCCAACCCCAACAGCTCCCCAAAACCCCAGGGCTCCAGGAAATGGCAAAGGGGGCCCCTCCCATCCCATCTCCTATTCTGACCCAGTCCCTCCTCCATCGGTGAAGCTTCAGATGCTGCCATATCCACGCCTAAGGCGGACGCCACCCCAGCCCCACCTCCCCGTCGCTCTCCCTGCCTGGCCCAGGGTCCCCCGACAGCCCACCTGTCTGGGTGCCCCATTTCCAGCAGAGCTCGGCACTGGCGCGAGAGCTGGGCGATGCTCTCCTCGTAATTCTCCACGCCCTGCTCCAACTGCAGGTGCTTCTTGAGCAGCTGCAGGGTGCTCTGCTCGTCCTGGAAGCACACAGCCCACGGTGAGGCTGCGGCAGCCCGGCCCGCTCGGCCGGACCCATCCGGTGCCCCCAGGCCCCTCACACCCGCAGCCCGGGCGTACCTTGCCCTTATCCTCACTCATCATGAGCAGCTCCTGCTCGCCCAGCCAGGCCTCCACCTCCGCCACATCGAAGTAGTACTGTTCCACCTGGAAGGCGGCGTCCAGCACCTGCTGCCGCCTCTCGGCCGCCTCCCGCAGGCCGGTCCAGGCGCTCTGCAGCTGTTCCTGGCCCTGCCGCACCGCCTCGGCCTCTGGGCTGCGCAGAGAGGCCAGGGCGCCTGCACGCTCCAGCACCTCCTCCAGGCGCGGCCCGTGAGCCTGGATTTCTCGCCGCAGGCCCTGCGGGCAGCAAAGACGGGTGTGGGTGGGGAAACCGTGTTCGGAAGCCTGGAGAGACCTTGTGTGCTTCCGCCACTGGCAAGGCCCAGCGAGCAAACGAACAAACAGTCCTCACCTGCCAGGTAGCATGTCAGAATCTTTCCATTACTCATTGTACCCCCACGCTGCAGGTCGGGGCACAGGCCCAGAGAGGCAAAGGGCTTGGCCCAACAGCAAGCAGCTGGTGGGAGCAAGCAGCGAGCAAGGGGGCAGGAGTCAGGAATCGAAGGTCACAGGCTGCAGCTCTGCTCTGAACCCAACGCTGGGTGACACAGCACCTCCGTGGCTGGGCCACGGGCCGGAGACTCCGGCTGCTCGGGGCCGCTGGGGTGTCATTCACACGCAAGACGTGCAGACATCTTGGGAGTACACGCCCCTGGGTGCACCGTGCATGCCCAGCTGCGGGCCCCAGGGGTGGGCCCTTAACCCGCACCAGGCCGTGAGAGCAGGCAAACCCCAGGCCACTGTGAGCAGTTCAGGGGCTGAAGGGCGACACAGCTGAGGCAATATGAGCCGCTGCTCAAGTTATTGAGAGAAACGGTGTTAGTTTTGCTGCTAGACACTGGAGCCTGTTGGGGGTCTTGTACCACCAGGAGGCGAGAGTCAGCCTGAGATGAAGCTACCGAGGGAAGGGGCTGCGGGGGCAATCGGGACAGCTGTTGGAAGCACCTGGCTGCATCTGTACCTGCTGTCCAGTCCTTTCGGGTCTAAGAGCCAATCCTTCCCTTCTTGGCTTTAAGCACCTTGATCTTTCTGTCACTGGCATCCAAGGTGCTCTCACCCACTCCCTCACCTGGTTCTGTTCACCTGGTTGCTTTTTCATTTTTTTGAGGTTGAGATCTAACTGAATTAGTCCAAAGTGTATGACAGAATGCCTTGCTAGCTGCATAGGTCACCTGGTTCTTTTTGATGTACTGCTGGACAGCCTGCAGACCACTGCCTCGCTCCGTCTGCATGGCCAGCGGCAGCCGCTCCTGGACCCATGCCTGGAGAGGACACAAGGAGCAGGTCAAGGGGAGAATGCACCCCAGGACCCCAATCTGTCAGCACCTGCACGGTATCCAAGGTCTTCTCCTTGTTCACACCTTGGGCCTCCTCTCTGGACGTGCTCTGTCCTGCCCCCACATCTGAGCCAGGCTCATGCTTGCATCTGGCCTTTGCACATGCGGGTCTCACTTCCTGGAAATCCCTTCCTGTACTCCTGCTTCATGTCTCAGCTCAGACGCCCCCTCGTCCAGGACGCCCTCCCTGACCTCAGACCGTGGTCAGCTGCCTCCCCTGGCTCCCAGGGTCGCTTCCTCTTCCTTATCACAGCCCCAATTTCCTTGGGCTGTCACTGTCTGGGACAAGTCTGTTTCCCCCTTTAGACTCTCTGGGCTGGGACAGGGTCTGCCACGGTCACCCTGTGACCCCAGGACCCCCCTAGCAGAGGGCTGGGTCCAGAATGACCAAGTGAGTGAGCAAATAAATAAGTGGATGGAACAATGAGCAAACCACAGAGTGACTGAGGAGGAAAAGAACGGATGAGAGCTTGAGTGCATAAATGAGTAATAACTTAATAAAGGAGTGAAATAAGGGATAACGGATGAGTCAACGACTAAATCAGCAAATCGACTTCCTGAAGTCAATGAGCGACTGAAAGTGAGCGCATGAATGTGGAAGTGAGGGCGGGAAGAAGTGGAGGTACACGACTGGGTCTGAGACTGAGTCTGTGAGCCGGGAGGTTTCTCAGCCCTCCGCCAGGAGGCTGCCAGAGTTGCACCCTCCTGCCGCCGCCCCCAGCCCACCCTCCCGCCCCCTCTGGCCTCGCAGTCGCAGCCCCCGCCCCACGCCCACCCTGGTCCAGCCCCCGCCCCAGGCCCGCGTCTCCTCACCAGCTCGTCGTCCAGGTCGTGCGCCACCTGGTGCAGCTCCTTGGAGGCGAGCAGCAGGCGGCGACGCTCCTGCAGCGGCTCGAGCAGGCGCACCAGGCGCTCGCCCACCGCGTTCTGCCGCTCGCCCACCAGCTCCTTGCTCGCCGGCTCCAGCGGCAGAGCCGCCGTCTGCGCCTGCAACTCTCCCACCTCGCGGTACCACTCCTCCACCTGCGACTCCATAGACTGCGGGAACAGCGGCAGGGTCAGCGGGGCCCCGCGCTCCCTCCCCGCCCGGCCGCCGCTCTCCCGACCGGCTGGGGCAGCACATCCCTCCGGCGGTGGCCACTCTTCCCGGGCTCAGCCGCGTCCCCGGGCTGCCCGCCTCTCAGATCTTGCAGCTCACACTAGCTTCCGCCTCAGGACCTTGACCTGTCCGGCTCTTCACTGTCAATCAGATTTCAGATCAGCTACTACCTTCTCCAAGAGGTTTCCCCCACCCCTGGGCTGAAGTGGTCCGTTCATTCCTTAATTCTCAAGAGCAACCCTCCAGGATCTGCGGTGTCCCCGATGAAGGGGGAAACTGAGGCTCAGAGAAGTTAGGCCATTCGCCCACCCAGCCAGCCCGGCCAGATGTCATAAATACAGGGCAAGAGTGAGTTAAACAGTTGGTGTGCCATAGGGTAGAAAGTGCGAGCCACACCCAATACACAAGAGAATTAATCTATTTCATAGGTGCTGTTTCACGTCTCCAGGAAAAAAATGGATTTTTCAATGAATGATCACAGGCTAGCTGGCTAACCAATTCAGCTGGATCCCTCTGTTGCTCTTTATGCTGAAAACAATTCCAGATGGATGTAGACTTAAATGGGGTAAGTAAATCCACACAGCCCCAGAAGAAGACCTGGGCAGAAGCTTTTATAATCTTAAGAGAGTCTTCCCATGCATAACAACCACAAAGGAAAAGGTCTAAATTTGACCACATTTTAAAAATCGGTTGCGTCAACAAAAAGTTCTAGATGTAGTTAGTAGGCAAACGACAAGCTAAAAAAAAAACAAACTAGTTAATATGTATTAAGGCGAGGAGACAGTCTCTTTAATGAAGAATTCCTTTACTCCCGCTTGCTTTTATCACTATCAGAGAGCTGTCTTTACTTGTGGGTTGACCAGCCTCCCGCTTCTAGAACATAAGCTTCCTGAGGGCAGAGATTGTGGCAGTTCGTGGCTGTATATCCAAGGGCCTGCAACAGGGTATGGCATATAACAGGCCTTCAGGTGCACCTTGCTCAAGGCACAGGTGAATCACATCAGCAAAGAAAAAGCCTGTCCTGCCACGGAAAGAAGCATTCATTGCGACCAGGCAAGAGAAATAAGCCTATGAGAAATGCCCAGTTTCAATGATAAGTAGGAAGACACCAGTTACAACAAAGTATCCTTTTCTGTTCATCATACTGCCAAAAATATAAAAATCGGTAATCCCTGGTGCTGGCCAAGACTCAGGGAGCCACACAGTTACTGTGGATGGTGGCGTGAACTGATGAAGCCCTTTGGAAAGCAGTTTGGCAGTTTCAAGCCAAATGCAAATGTGCATCACATTGACCCAGAATTTGCACTTTTTCTAGGAATATATCTTAAATAACTGGCACATCTGCATGAAACTGTTTGCCCAAGGATATTCACTGTGGCAGAGATATTTGCCCAAACACGT